ATTTATCTAAAATCCAGGAAATTTCTCGAAAATTCATTACCACCCGTTTGTGTTTTCGGTGGAACGCTTAATTCCAATTCTTTTATTTCAATTTCGGCATATTCCGACTTTACAACTTGCCGATTCAAATCTACTGCGCTTCGGACACGAAGAGTAATCTCGACGCCGTGTTCCTGAAAAAACAGGAACCATGATTACTGAATGCTTTGCCGTCCAGCAAAAATTCAATCATTAAAATTCTGCTTTCACACTGAAGACGACGGACCGAAACATTTCTTACCATTATAATAATTTTATTAAAATAACTTTTTACTATTTTTACTAATTTCTTAATTTTTATTTCGAAATTTCCTTTTCGATTCTCCTTTTTATTCAATATATCTTCCTATATGACTGTATCAGCTGTTGTTTCGTCCTGCTCTTCGGCTACTGGTTCAACTCACAACTTCTGAATTCCTCGCCATTTTTCCTTAGAATATGAGACACTTACCTGTGCTGCTTCACCGCTCTGCAATTCATTGTTGCTGTAGCCACAGTGCTCACAGCTGAACGAAATAACGATTACCTGCCGATAAAATGGAATATTTGTGCACAGAATTCGTGTGATTCCCTGAAAAAATTCCGCAATATTTCAACAAAACTTTAAATTTCAAATCAAGGAAAGAACGGTTGTTGAACGAAAACATGCACTAAAAATGTAAAAGCTACGCTTGCTACACATTCCCAGCGGCTATATGTGATCGTTTGCTCGTTTACTCTGGGCTAATTCCCAATATCCATTTGGATTGCGAGCAGCTAAATCACTTACGTTTCGCTGATAATACAAATGAGATGCTGCAGGAGCTTTTTCGAAATAAACGAGATGCTGCAGGAGCTCTCTCTCGCTCTCTTGAAATAAATGAAATGCTGCAGGAGCTCAACGCACGAAAGAAGTGGGCGTGGCAACTCTGACGTTCTTTTCATTTCCCGCCCACATTATCGGTACAGTGGTTCGCTTGGAAAAAGAAACTTTTTTTAGGCTAACATTTTT